GACAGCCCAGAGAGGACACAGGGACAGCCCAGAGAGGGACACAGGGACAGCCCAGAGAGGGACACAGGGACAGCTCAGAGAGGGACACAGGGACATTCAACAGCCCTGACCCCAAAGGGTTGCCTGCAGAGAAACCCCAAGAGCTCCCACCTCTCCCCGGGGAGGAACAACCACCAAGAGCTGGGGAGAGCAGGATCGAGGAGAAGCTCAGAGAGCGCCGAGGAGAAGCCAAAACTCGATGGAGGTGCAGAGAAAAGGAGAAGAGAAGAGAGAGGCAAAGGCAGCTCCTACTCACCYGTCTCAGCGAGGAGGAGGAGGCAGAGAAGTGGATGAGGGCTCCTGCCCCTGCAGTGCCTTTTATACCGTCCCACACCGCCCCGGGCCCGCGGGCACCCTCTGCACATGGAACGTGTTTGCCCAGCTCAGCCCGCATGAAAAACATCCCAATTACAGAAATGGGGCCACTGCAACGCTGCTGCTTTTCCATTYCATTTCCCTGTGCAGGACGTGCCCCGTCAGCCTCCCAGGCTCCTTTCAAGTGATGGGATTAGAGGCCAAAATGTGCCCGGGGGCAGTGCCCGTCAGCAGCAGGGCCGGGTGATGCAGCCGGGGCTGGGGAGTGTCCGACATCCCAAAGGATCCCAGCCCTGCCCTCCAGGGCACGGCTTTAAAGGCTTTGCTGATGATGGTGCCGGGCTCCTCCGAGCCCTGGGGCTCCAGCCCGGCCACTCCTGTGAGGGTCAGCTCAGTCCTTTGGTCACTCCACTGCTGTGTCCACTCACCCTGAACGGGGCATCGCCTCTCTGGCCAGGCCAGCGCTGCTCCGGCCTTGGAAGGGGCTGCCCAGTGGGATTTGGAGTCTCTGTCCTTGGAGTTGTCCAGGGAAAAACTGGACATGGCACTCAGTGGTCTGGGCTGGGGGACAAAATGGGGATCAGGCTCAGGTGGACTTGATAATCTGGGAGGGCTTTGCCATCCTGGATGATTCTGGGATTCCTTCAGGTGACAGAGCCATCCTCACTCCATCCCCATGGCGCCAATCCTGAGCAGGGGACATTTTTTGGCCCCAGCACTTGAAAGTCACACCCTGGAGGGCCAGGGACTGGCTCCAGTCGGTCAGTGGGACACTTCCCAGCCCTGTCTCCCTCATCTATCCCTGCTGACGTGTCATTTTGCCTGGAAAT